TTAGTAGCGATCTTACGTCGAGTCAATTGTTTTTTACACTAATGTCTCAGAAAAGCACCAGGTTTGATCACTAACACACATGTTTAACCTGTACACATGTTTGTCCTAAGCCAGGATACTGAACCTGTAATCCAGTGATTGCATGACGGTGGTTACTGTCTGTCATATTTGTTTTTGGTTATCTCTATTGAAAGCGTTTTCACACTTTGTCATCCCGGGGCCTTTTAATGCTTTCTATATACAATATGGATTTTGTTCATTATCAAAGGTCGTACGACGACCTGTAATTGTATCAATATTCATCCTTTGGTCTTTAATGGATAATTGTCTCATTGGCAATGAAACCACATCTCCTTATTTTCAAATTGAAGATATGATCAAATACATAACATCTAATCAGTTTATTGACCTTTATGTTCAATTTTATGTAAGGTGTCTTATACAAGCGTCTTTGACCTTTGTAACTTACTTGTCGTATCGACATTTAAAATTTCTTTCTCTATGAACTTCACTAATTGTAAAATTATACAACCCTATGAGTGACGGTTGATAGTAGAATTGATAAAACCACATGCAGAAATTATCTAGCATGTGTTCTGTTTTCATATCCTAAAACATTCGACTAAAAAGGAAAAAAAAAGGAAAAACTTTCTTCTACTATCTATTCCTACTCGAATAGAAGTGTTTTAAATGTATAAAATCTGTCTGACATTGACTCCTGTGGTCAACCTTGAATCTAAAGTATGATTTATTCTTTTATATGCGAACAAAATCAAAATACATTCTTTCTTGACAATATAAAACGCGACAACTAAAGGAATCAGTTTTAGGCAGGTAACATTTATACCGTAAAACCGTACACACTCATTGACTCGTGGGGTAACCCTTATTTGATTGCCCGAAATTCTGTGAAGCTTTATGGGCCCAAAAAAAGTGCAAGTGTATAAACTATTTGTTACATCAAGTATACATTTCATCAATTATACAACAAATCTGTCCGAATTCTCTGTCCTGTCTTTAAACATCGCATATAAGTGACTACTGATAAGCAAACTTGTGTTCTGTTTCGCAAGATAGGACAGCGCAAGCTTTTGAAAAAAAATACAGCTAACTGCCTTTTTCACTATTAATAAGAAATGTGTATTGTACGGTAATCAGTGATTTAGTGGTTGCAGGATTTAAATAGTACTGAATTGCTGCAAAGTCAGTTTGTAAATTTGATTTAAAATTTAAGTTGCAATCCCGTAGACCAAAGTTGACGATGGATGAGTTTGACTGTTATCCACTGTTCAGTATAAATCATCCATGCATGGTAAAAAAAAAGCTAAGATATGTCCATTTATTTATGTTCTAAAATAAGATTAACTTTTTGAAGTTTTTGTTCATTCATCAAGTTGACATTTATCTGTTTTCTCTCACTCTTGTAATTTTAATTTGAAAGATTAAAGCTAGTAGTATTGTTTAGTCACACATTTTTTAAAGTATTTTCAAGCCCGTTTGTCATTTTCTTTTGTCTACATACTTTAACAATCTGTCTTTATCATTCTATTTTATATGTTCTTGTATATTGTTTGTTACTATTACATGATTTAGGTAATTCAAAGTGAGGTCGTAGATGAAACAGTTTGCAATCCGACAAGCTAAGATTCGGTTGTTGAATTTGTGTTAACGGGCATAGGGGACACAATTTTATGCTATACTTTACTGTGTATTAATGCACGATACTATTGATCATTTAAATTGAATAAAAATGACACTTTGACTTCTTATTGTATTGACTTAGAATTTGAGCTACTTTATGTGTGATAACTAATACTGAGATATGAGTCGGTCCTCTTCGGCATACTGAAGGCAGTATCAGTTATTCTGTAGTGTATAATATTTCAGTCAATTTTGTTAACGACAGTTTTCAATTTAGTAATTATGGGTAAACTGCCCTATGTGAACTTGACCTGACTAGAACAAGGCCTCCTCGTCGTATAATCGTGTCTTTCTATTTATAACATTTGATCACGATTTTTCATAGCTGTCATCTTTTTTTGAAAATAAATAGTGCATAGTGTGTCTTCTAATATCATTTACATGTTGATCTTTCGAAAGGATGTATGTAAGATTAACACGCAGTTTTTTAAAATTGAAACCTGAGCTATTTAAAAGTATGGTATAGTAGCAAGTTCATTGACATTGAGCGCTGCTACGAATCAATACAATATACCGGTACCTTGTTGTCTTTTTTACATTAGATCAAAAAACCTTTCAACGACAGCACGGAGAACAACATATACGTGTAATTCAATAAAAGAAACTTTTAAGACCGATTAACGTGAAGGGATATCATCTACCAAAAATATATAAAATATTATTTTATGACTTAAGAGGAGTCATGACTGTAACGCAATGATTACATCACAATTTCACGACTGTTTCAAATTTTGTTGTATTTGGAGGCGGGATTTAACATGTTTAACGACAAAAAGCGATTTAAAATATTTTCTGGGTTAGTTGAAACATTTATAAAATTGCCAAAGGAAAAGTTGATTGTATTAAGCACCTCATATAAATTACGTATTCCTCCCCGTATTACAATATATAACAAACTGATACTTTTAGAATGAGCATGTATACAATACATTGTGAAACCATTTCGTGTCAAGTGAAAAGGGCAAACTACTACAAATTGTAATGAATAGATGTTTATGTGAATGGACGGTAGGTTGACCACCACTATTATGTGACTAAATATTTCAAACGTTTTAGTCAATTCAAGTACATGTTTGAATATCCGCATGTTTTGTTCCTTCGAGTGAGTAATTCGATTCATAATTCTATAAATAGGTCAACTTTGAATAGGAGCCAAATAGGATTTTTTTTCTGGCTATAATAAAATCTATGCAAAACTCTCCCATATGCGCAGTTGGAATAATAAACGAATTAAAGAAATAATGAATACTAGTATATGTCAAATAACTTGCACAATTTAATCAAAATATTTGTTTCCGGATGACAAGTTATTTTTCAAAAGATATCCCACTTTCCCCTTTCTCTTCATGTGCCGTTTAGGAAATTCAAAATAAAATCATATTCCAAATCGACTTAAATTACAAATGGAGCTTAGAGTGTACATAAAACACACATAAAACAACAACCCATCAACACGCACAAGTACAATACATATCTAGAGATCTACGTACATATCCTCTTCAACTAATTCAATGGTCTTTACAATATGCTAAGCTCTATACTAAGCTATTAACTAAACTATAAACTGAGCTCATAGTTAATCTAACTAAGAAGCTATAAATCAGTTATTATCTTGACAAAAATAGATGCATTCATCAGAGAATACAATGTTTGGGTGATGTTGTCTTGTCTGATTGATTTTCGTAAAATATCAACTGCTCGACACAATATGAATCCTTTATAGGTCTTGCACTGTGTTCATTCGACAAACGGCTTCCTATATTTTGACTTGCAGCTGATATTTTACAGTGTCAATGTATCAAGAAAACCTGATAATTGGTATTGTCGAGCCTGCGACTTTTGTCGCAGAAAGCTCGACATAGGAATAGTGATCCGGCGGCGGCGGCGGCTACGGCGGCGGCGGCGTTAGCTAACTTCTTAAAAGCTTTATATTTTAGAAGGTAGAAGACCTGGATGCTTCATACTTTGTATATGGATGCCTCATGTTACGAAGTTTCCGCCAGTCACATGTCCAATGTCCTTGACCTCATTTTCATGGTTCAGTGACTACTTGAAAAAAAAGTTAACATTTTTTGTAATGTTAAATTCTCTCTTATTATAAGTAGTAGGATAACTATATTTGGTATGTGCGTACCTTGCAAGGTCCTCATGCCCGTCAGACAGTTTTCACTTGACCTCGACCTCATTTCATGGATCAGTGAACAAGGTTAAGTTTTGGTGGTCAAGTCCATATCTCAGATACTATAAGCAATAGGTCTAGTATATTTGGTGTATGGAAGGACTGTTAGGTGTACATGTTCAACTGGCAGGTGTCATCTGACCTTGACCTCATTTTCATGGTTCAGTGGTTATAGTTAAGTTTTTGTGTTTTGGTCTGTTTTTCTTATACTGTATGCAATAGGTCTACTATATTTGGTGTATGGAATGATTGTAAGGTGTACATGTCTAGCTAGCAGGTGTCATCTGACCTTGACCTCGTTTTCATGGTTCAGTGGTCAAAGTTAAGTTTTTAAGTTTTGGTCTTTTTTTCTAATACTATATGCAATAGGTCAACTATATTTGGTGTATGGAAATATTTTATGATCTATATGTCAGTCGCGCAGGTTTTATATGACCTTGACCTCATTTTCAAGGTTCATTGCTCAGTGTTAAGTTTTTGTGTTTTGGTCTGTTTTTCTTAAACTATAAGCAATAGGTCAACTATATTTGTTATATGGAAGAATTGTTAACTGTACATGTCTGCCTGGCATTGTTCATCTGACCTTGACCTCATTTTCATGGTTCATTGGTCAATGTTTAGTTTTCTTGGTTAATGTTAAGTTTATGTGACAGTTGTAATAAAGCTTTATATTTAGGACTATCAACATAATATCAATGATCAGTAAAGAAGGCAAGACATTTCAGCGTGTGCACTCTTGTATTGCTATGGGAATGTTCTAATTTTAAAATCTTAACACTTGTGTCTCATCTTAAAGGCAATCGTGATGCTTTTTTTCTATTCAGGCAGTATTGAATTTGTTGTAATTTAATGTACATGTTCTCAGATCAGTTTAGCTTAAGATGTTAAAATAATTTGTTGCAAAGCAGGCGAAGTATTTTCCAGCATGAACAGAAATTAAATAAGAGTCGGGTGATGGGGGGATGAATTACATTTATTGAGTTTAGAGAAACGGACATTTATTTGATATGAAAAAGGTGCACTTGAGCAGAGTCGGAGATGATATGAAATCGAATCAGAATGAAAGTTTCAAATTTTACTTTTCATTATTTTTTACGTTAATCCCCTTTTATATTTTCAGTTGCATCAAATGACAAAGGATTAATTGTATCAACGTTTCCAAATTGGATGTATAATGGACAACTTAATGTATACCACGGCGATCCTTCGACGTTTATTACTGAGCAAACTGTAGGCCTTTCTAGACATGATGTTGATTATGATGCTCAAGTAACGTCACTTGCGACTAATACAGAAGACAATTCAGTTCTTTTCGTAGATGCAACAAAAAATACACTTTATAATTTTGATAATTTTAACCTTTATATGAACCAAACTAGTCAACAATTTACAGCTATACATACCGGTATATCAGCAACAACCAGTCAAATTGCGTATGACTGGTTAACAAAAAACGTATACTGGACTGATGGATTCTACAAATGGATTGCTACGCACCCAGTCATGAAAAAAGAAGATATGAGCCTGTATAAAGTGTTAGTGACAAAGCATTTAACAAAACCAGAGGGCATAGCCGTTGACCCTTATAAAAGGTAGGTTTATTTGATTTCTTGTGTCTGACTGTCTATTAGATTGCGTTTTTCTGATTGTCTATTTACTTGCAATTGTCTGAATGTCTATTAGATTGCGTTTGTCTGACGGTCTGGTTTTTCTTTAACCCTCTTTTTTCTTATTGTCTATAATACACTTGTGTTTGTCTGACAGTTTATTTGCCTGCGTTTGACTGACTATTTGATTGCGTTTGTCTGCGGGTCTATTTGATTGCGATTGGTTGACTGTTTGTTTACTTGCGTTTCTCTTATTGTCTATTTGATTGCTTTTGTTTGATTGTTATTATACCTGCGTTTTCTTAGTGTCTTTTTACTTGCGTTTATTTGACCATCTATTTTCTTGCGATTGTCTGTCTGTCTTTTTGCTTGCGTTTATTAGGCTGACTATCTATTCACTTGCGTTCATTGGACTGACTATTTGCTTGCGTTTGTCTAACTGTTCATTTACTTTCTTTTGTCTTACTGTCCATTTATATTTCGTTTGTTGGACTTTATATTACTTTCGGTTTTCGAACTGCTATTTACTTGCTATTGACTGTCTATTTGCCTGCTTTTGTCTGACGGTCTATTTACTTTTGTATGTTTGACTGTCTGTTACTTGCGATTGTCTGACTACCTATATACTTCCGTTCATTGGACTTACTATTTGAATGCGATTGCATTACTGTATTTTTGCTTGCGTGTTATGTTTTTTTTTATTTTTTTTTTTTAATCCCTATTTATTTGCATTTGTCAGACTGTTTATTAACTTTCTTTAGTCTGACTGTCCATTTACTTTCGTTTGCTGGACTGTATATTACTTTCGGTTGTCGAAATGTCTATTTGTTATTTGCCTGCGTTTGTCTGATTTTCTATTTCATCTTTGTTATGATTATCAGTAAACCATGTACGATCTTATTCAGATCAATTTAGTTTGGTTAACTCCAGATAGGTAAGAGATATTGAAATCTTACATGCTATAGCGTTATTATCTATTCGGATATGTTATCTTTGAATCCAACGGGAATATGATATTTTCATCAATATTTTAAAGATGTTTCTATGGAAATATTAAAAGTAGTATATTAAAGTATAAGAAAGGAGTACAAATGGCCTTGACATATAGTGATAAATGTTGTATATCAAATAAGTACGGTTAGCAATACATATATTATATTAGTTAGAGAACAAAAAACGAAATCCTAGTCCGTGAATAACTCATACTACAATAAAATAGTAAGGTACGTATATACAGTAAATGTAAATTTAATGCATTAATCATTTTGTGGAATGTATTGAAACATACCATCTCCCTTTACGAGTTTTTTTTGGGGGGGAATTTGAAGCGTTCACCGTAAAACATTTTGTCAGAAGCGGGAAGCGCTTCATACTTAAAATTGTAGACATTCAACTAGTATGCAACGATATAGAGCTACAAAAAGGAAGTATGAGATAGAGAACTATCAACGGTTGCTCGTACTGTCATGTTTGGATGTTACGTTTTATTGGGATATAAAACATTATTGTAAAACTCCACGTGATTGCTGTCTGCAAATTAAAATAACGGAATCATTATGAAACATTTTCGAAATTCAAATATTGATGCGAACAATAAGCTCACAATCAATTCAAAGTTATGGACATTAAAATAAAGTTTGTTATGCATTACATCAGTGTTTTAACATCTATTCACATCGAATAAGGCGTTTAATATTTGTAATTCAGTAACTATTTCGCACCTTGAAAGTGCCATAGTCTTCCACTATGCTCAGATCTCTTAAACTTGTTAGTGTTACTTGGCTATATTTTTTGTTATTCATTTGTTTTTTTTAATTTTTATACCTGGGATTGGGGAGTGTTATTGCCTGTTTTGTAAATATTTATTAAGTTCATGTTTAAATATGGTCTTTCGTCTAAATTTAACATATTCATTTAAATTGCATTAAAAGAACGCGTTATCTCTAAAGTTTACCGACATCTATTTTAATGAAGTTTAGAATTTGCCATAAACATATTCAAATTATTTTAATTTTATAGTTAAAAATATATGAATAAATTGATGAAGTGACAATCTGTACCATCTTCATTTTATAGCCCTAGATAATTATAAATCAATTCGGAGTAAGTCACAAGCTTGTATGATGAGTATCTATATACTATATATAGTAGTTCTTAAAAACACATCAAAGAAAGTCTATTAGCGTAAACAGTCGTTAGAGTGAAAAGACGTATTGTACCACAGAATTTCACTTTATAGCAGTTTCATTCGTTTAAACAAGAGTGCAGTACATTGATGCTGTCTTAATAACAGCTTACAAAATATATCCTTAAGCGATATATAATGAAAAATTGCTGAAAGGGCTAGACAGGTACCATTGTGACCCCATGGGTATGTAGTTATGTTGGGCGAGTACTGCTCTAGTGGTGTCTGCTTGTTTTATCGTCTGTTTGTTTATAAACTAAAGAATCGGCATCGTTACATGAGTTCATAAATACAAGTGAAAAAAAGTGAGCATAATTAAATTCTTTCTTTAATTTGACAACCTTAAAGTATTCAAAATTATGAAGTGTTAAAATCTTGTTAGAATAACTTCTTTGAACTCAACTGTCAACGACGTATTTTTGCACCGTTTTTTTTTGTTACATAATTCTGATATACTCTGACACAATGAAAACTTCAAACCATGATTGTAGGGTAAAAAAAAGCGCATCCGGTTGCCAGCTCGACCGAAAATGATATCTCGTTAACTCAGTAAAATTAATATGTTTCATACATACAAAAATAGTAAGAAAGAATGCAAAATGCTCCTGAAATGTTTCCCAGCGGTAATATGACGCTACAAGTTTAAATAATAGGTGGAATGGCATACCTTCGAACATTCTGAAAATATAAACTAAGTTCAATTATCTGAATTGCAAATATATAAAGTTAATATTTGCAGTTCTTGACACGTATTGTGAAATGAACTTATTCGTTTTTCGCTTGTATATAATTTTATTCGAAATACCAGTGTCACATGAAAGTTTTTAACTGAAATATTTTACACTTAAGGTTATATATTAGTTCCATAGTTATTCTGAAAAATGACAAATTTCAGTAAGTTTATTTTTCCATTCCGTAGTTGTTTGGATTTTATGTTAAAAATTTAGTTTTCAGTTTAAACATTAAAGAATTCGTTGCTAAATATTTATTTCTACAGGCTTTAAATAGATTTTGAACGTACATTTGTATATTCCTGACATAAGTTCAGTAAAGCCTAAGCATTTATCTAAAATTATTTTTAAATTTTTATATGAGTGTTTTCCAATATAGTTGATCTTGTTTTAATTCAAACATTATTAATACAGATGTTTTCTGTATTTGTTACAATACACACTAGATAATTATCGATGTTGTGTTTGTCATTTGATTTTCGTTGTTGCTAGATTAAATTCAGTCTTGTCTGGTGACTATTCATTATGGATCATTGTCTGTGCAAATCTTTAAAGAACGGGGTTAAGTGGTAGAATCGTTTGAGGATAAGGATTCAGAGGAAAATCCAAATGGCAATGTTCCGAGTGGATATGGCGCTTTTAATTAGTGTGTGGTGTATCAAAATTTATCAAACTGGTCAAAACCAATTCAAATGCGCACAGAATCTAAGACATTTTTATGGAGCTTACTTTTTGTAGGCCGGCGTTCAAGTTTACTCACCCAGTAAGGTTGAAGAGCTAAATTCACTATATACTGATATGACTGGATTAATAATGATTTGAATTAGAGTATATCATTAATGACTTGTGTCATTTTTATCATAAGACATCTTTGTAAATAGCCATATTTTCCCAAGCCAGATGATTTTGATCATAAAAATACTTTGATGAATTAAAGAATCTACTTGAAAACCATAAAGCACTTAATAGCCCCCTCCCACTAAAAAGCTACGAATAATGCCAATGACAATAATTCTATTCATGATTATTTTTATCATCATTCTGTAATCTATAAAGAGTAAATACTTATAGTTTCAATTTTTTCCAGGTACTTATTCTGGTCCGATGTGATCGGTCTTAAATCTAAAATAGAAAGATCAAACTTGGCAGGGGACGAATCAACTCGAGTAGTGCTAGTTCAAAGTGACAGTCCAATATGGATATCATCTCTAGCAGTAGACACTACAACAGAGACATTATACTGGGCAGATATTGGTCGTCAGACGATTGAAACCATTGACTACAGTGGATCGAAGACCAGTAGAAAAGTTCTAGCAAAGCTTCTAGGATCTGCATTCATAGCAATATCTTTAGCTAAGGTAAACACATCCATAAGAATAAGATGTTGCTCGACCAATAGATGATGATTCAAGCTATTTGTGAACCATTGAAATGCGACACTGTAACATGAACACATGAATTTTCTACTTAGTCTTAAATGATGCTACAAAAATAGCTAATGAACCTTATCAATAAGCCGTTGTTGGTACTGTGTAACATTTTAGATATTTAAAACTTTACAAAATGTTTATGATGAATATATATTGGTTGTTACTTGTTTAGGGAAGAAAGTTAAATTCAACTATAAAGTTCAAAGATAAGTTTCCTGTGAAAAGAGGATTTTCTGTATGCATGCATTTGTAACACCCTGATTACCACTTATAAAACGAGTAGATGATATTCCCTCTATTTTTCTTGGTGAATAATTTCATATGTAAATGCTGCCGCGAATTAAATACGAACAGTACTAAGGTGTTCTGTACATAACTATTTACATTTATAACTATTCTAATTTAAATTTACATTTACTTGTCGTTACCTAATGAGTAGTTTTCCTCTTTGACCGACAAAGGTTATTAGACAACACACAACTTTAATGTGTATTTTGTAAAAAAAACAGCAAGTGAAAGCTAGTTTTCACATCTTTTACTGAATTTCTATGATAAATTATAGGAAGTAACTAAAATGATCCTCATCAATTTTTGTTTTGTTTTTAGCCATTGTACGTATTGTCTGTCTCTTTTCGACATGGTTTGAAAGGTCACTTTTGTATATTTCCTCCTCTCTTTTTGTTTAATGCCTCTGCATGAAAGGAAAAAAAAACATGTCAGTAATATTACATGTGAAATATTATTTACAATATATATATATACCATTCCTTGAGATACTAAAAGGGCGTCTATTTAACAACTCACGAAGTTCATGAGAAGAAAACTTCATAAGCTTAATGTACAGCATGTGAAAAAACCTTTATAAACTATATAACGACACTTGCATAACATTGACTTACTGCATGAGAAGGAACTTCATTAACTTGATGTATACAGCAAGTAAATAAATCTTCATATTCATAAACTTGACGTACAGCAAGTGGAGAAAAAAATCATAGGATTGACGTTTTGCAAAAGAAGAACATTGTTATCAGATTATATATTGATTAAGACTTGTTAAATTTTGCTACCTATATATTGATATTCTTTTTTCTGGTTGTAGGATGTAATATGTGGAAGTAACTATAAAGATCTCAGCGTGAGGTGCTATGATAAAATAACGGGAAATAACACGTGGTTTACAACTTACTATTACAAAGAACCATGGGCAGTGGCTGTATATGACAAAGATATGCAAACCAAAGCAACTCGTATGTATCTTTACAAAAGCAGACTGTACAATTGAACTGTTTATTTATATAATTATACTTAAATCAACTCTTTAATAAGGATAGATAAATGACAAAAAATATATGTTTTATGAGATAATAACACGATGCTTAACTTTTAAAGCAATTTTTATTCAACAGATTTCTGTGAGTTAAAATTTCATTTGAGCGGCACGACAGTTATCTTAAAAGGTTTTAATTTTAGTTTCAAACTGAAATGTACATGTTTTAAATGTTGATAAACACCATTGTAGATCCATGTCAAAGCAAACAATGTGCCCATATATGTATCAACATTGACCAAGCAAATGCCAAATGTCTGTGCAAGGAAGGATTCAAATTGAAATCTGACGGATTGTCGTGCGAAAGTAAGTTATTACATACGACTTTGTAAAACCTATAATTTAATGGAAATGTGACAAGTATTGTTTTATATGACCGAGGTTTTGTAATATCGATACAAATACAGTAACACAACAACCTCAATGTACTTGCATCATTATGAGTATCTCGACTTCATCGAATTGACAATTATTCTTAAAAGACACATAATAAAAACATGTATCATGTATAAACTAAAGTAGTTTTATTAACACATAATAAACATACTCCATATCATTATAATGAAACAAAAACTGCACATCATAGAGCTTTCAATCATACAGACAGACAGAGTATAGAAACATAAAAACAATAAAATGGGGGAAAAAGTTTCAGTAAATTCTCATGAACGAAAGTCCATCTTAAAAATCAACCAGTCTTCAACATTATTTTGTGAATTGCAATATCTTCATTTGATATATATATTTAGATGATTTTCGATTTCACACAGGATGGCTGTAGGCGCTATATAAACCCATCTGCATCTCTTACCTGTTTCAGGAATTTATTAAAACAATACATTTGATATATTATTTCTTATTTTATCAAACAAACATCAATAAATCTATCGTCTGTTTATTTATCTTTTTACACATCAGAAATGCACGACAGATACAGTAAAAATGATATTTCAGGATTCTCACTTTGTATAGACTGGACCTGAGGTGTTTTTATTAAATAGATTAAATTATCAAATTCACGATAAACCTTGTTAATTTATACTACCGTCTATGATGTCAATGCTTAACGTTTTATAAGCTTGTCTAAACCTGAAAATTTAAAAAAGCGTATTTCATCTATAAACCTTTTTACACCAAACATTTAGCTTTAATGGATAGTCTTTGATTTTGGATTTGTGAAACAAGTTCGGATACAATGTACAATAATTCTAATATGTGCAATTTTAAAAAGAATGTAAGAATTTAAGCGAATATGTTATTCGTAGTGTTTTTTCCCCATCATTTCGTTCAACTCTGACCATACTAGTATCACGTCATATTAAAAGGTCAACAATACTGTTGATTAACGTCCAGTGACAAATATGCCATGCCTCTTCAGGATGAGAACAATTGAAGATTAATATCATAGGTAGGATCATTAAGATAGGGATAACTGCCACCGGTAAATCAGGGTAGGATGGATAGGACAGACATTAAGCCTTGCAACAGGCCTCCTTAGTACCCCTGAAATAGTTGTAACAAGGGTTCTTTTTAACGGACAGTAAGCGAGGCATTCTCCCTACACGCGGCACCCATCCCTACACGTGGCACTCTCCCTACACAAAGCACTCTCCCTACACGTGGCACTCTCCCTACACGTGGCACTCTCCCTACACGAGGCACTCTCCCTACACGAGGAACTCTCCCTACACGAGGCACTCTCCCTACACTCGGCACTCTCCCTACACGTGGCACTCTCCCTACACGAGGAACTCTCCCTACACGTGGCACTCTCCCTACACGAGGCATCTCCCTTCACGTGGCACTCTCTCTACACGTGGCACTCTCCCTACACGAGGCATCTCCCTACACGAGGCGCTCTCCCTACACGAGGCATCGGATTTAACGTCTGCATTCCGACTGGACATGACTGCGTATTTGTACATCCCGCACAACCAAACGGTTATAGAAAGTAATGTACTGCTAGAACGGGAGAAGTCAAAGGAATGACTATCAACAATAATACATTACACAAGAAAACATCATCATGTGTAGACAAAATGTATATGAGTTCAAGTCATGTTATGTCAACAAACTATGTGCAAATAAAGAAGGAAACATTTTCTTTTTGTGGTCCAACAGTGAAGAATATACTATATCATCCAGTGGAACTGTATCTTCATTCACATATTCACAAGTAATTAGATTTTAACAAAGTATAAATTTGAATTTCCCATGGAATTCGGTATTTTTGTTATTTTACTTTTTACAATGTATTATTTTTCTTCAGGTGAACATGGATTTTTGTTTGGAAAAGCCATCATAATGGCCAATTCAACTGATGCTTGTATGTACGATGCTCACATCAGCACAAATGCTAAACCTACCGCTGACTGCTTTCTATCAAATATGTCAGGCTTAATGTATTTTGCTGTTGACAGTCATGAGCGCCAATTTTACTACATCGACGAAGTATCAATGTCGGTTAAACAAGTTGATATGATAAGTAACATTGAGAAGGTGATCTATACAGATGCTACAGCATTCTCAGGTATGTAATCCACAAGAACCACACGTTTTATATTATTTACAAATACGTAGTCAAAATATAACATATTTACATGTATATAGATATTATCAATATTGTATAACATTTTAAATAAAAGCAAGTGAGCTAAGTTTCAACAAGTCAGCAATTTAAAAGGTTCACTAAACAAGATAATTTCTTAAATAATGAATAGAATAATTAAGTAGTTGATTGTTTAGTAACGAATCGAATGGATTTTTTAAAACGTTTCAGTGACGCCTTTTTCCATCTTTCTCATGAAGACGACAACAGAAATAATATATACATACGTATGGAATATGTAAATCCATAACAACACAAGTTCTTTTCGTTTTCAAATGATATACTTTTCAACTTTTCAAATCGTGCTTTTGAAATTTTTAACACAAATAAGTATATATTTGATGGAAAGTTTTCACTTTTGTTTTAGGATTTGCATTTGATTGGACAACGAAAAATTTGTTCTGGACTGATTATCAGGGAGGCAAGATTGTTGTTCATTCCGTGTTAACATCTACAACGGCAGATTTAGTAACTTTGTTAGATAATCCGAGTTATATCACTGTAGACCCTCACATGAAGTAAGTAAATGGACAGGTTAAGGACATATTTACTGTTGATTTGCGTTTCTCTCCATTTATATGGTCAAGATTATCATGCAACCTTTACCCAGCTTCCTTATTTTCCCTTATAAAGGATATTTTGCGCGACATTACGTCATATTATACCAGATACATGTGTTTTTCTACTATATTACGGTAATAACCATAACTGTTTACATCCACTTCATTTGAACTTTGGTGGATAATTGTCTCATTGGCAATTATACCACATCTCCTTATTTTTATATATATCTGGTGTATTTCATGCAATGTGTATTATCCATACAATGTGTATTTCCTGCAATCGTGCGATAACATCAATATCAGGTGTTTTTCCTCTAATGTTAAGGTAGATACCCATATCAGTAGTATTTCCTGCAATGTTACGGTAATATCCATTTAATAAGTATTTCCTGCAATGTTACGGTAATATCTATATCATTAGTATTTCCTGCAATGTTACGGTAATAAACTTATCAGTAGTATTTCCTGCAATGTTACGGTAATATCCATATCAGTAGTATGTCCTGCAATGTTACGGTAATATCCATATCAGTAGTATTTCCTGCAATGTTACGGTAATATCCATATCAGTAGTATTTCCTGCAATGTTACGGTAATATCCATTTAATGTGTATTTCCTCCAACGTTACAGTAATCTCCATATCAGTAGTATTTCCTGCAATGTGACGGTTTGTTTTCCTTCTTCCTACGTGTATGTACTGAGATATATTAAAACAGAAGTGCTGGGAACGGGAAAAATGTGTGGGTCGATTAAAAAAAAACAGCAACATTTTACAATTTAAGGTAAAAGATGATGAGCAAATCAAGAAGGAAGCACCTACTTGCTGATTGTTAAGTTGAAAGATGACTGTACTTAATAATTATTTGGTTTATTGCATTATTATTCACATTCACATGCAGCTGCATCATTACTGGCTTATTTATTGTTATAAGGATCAGGATCCTAAGCTATCACATACGTTGAGAATTGTATGTCGTCTTTTTAAATTTCTTTTTAGAAAAATGTATTGGATCACAGGATATGGATACACAGCTACTCTGGAAGAAGGGAATTTAGACGGATCTGGATTAAAAACAATTCTGGCTAAAGGAGAAATAAGTTATCCAGAATCATTGTTTTGGGATGTAACGGCACAAAAGTATGTTATTTCCCAATTCATAGAATAGAATAGAAATCACACATCTTTTGTGTATCAATGATGAGACTGAAATCTTGTTTGCACATCTAATTTAAGAACAACGCGAATTTTTCTTTTCTTAGGAGTACTATAATGATGCGTAAATTTAATCTGATTATCTTTTAGATACTCTTATGTAACGCTATGACTTGTTTAGGACATTACATTATTGCTTACGAAAGACTGATTGATGTTTGTTAGTGACAAAATATTGAATGCACATTCAGGACGAGAAAATTGTTTTATAAATGAAAGATTGATCGGTGTATTCGACAACTAGACAACAACCTTAAAACACAATCAAGCGGTTTAGCGGTCATTTTAGGGTCTTAAATAATAAAAGTGTATAAATAATATTTCAAGATGACAACTATCCAAAGTTTGGACACGTTATCAAAAAAGAAAAAGGAATGATAAGGATTATTATTTGCACCACCTATCAAATATTCAATGAGCACTAGTATTTCGGTATTTATAAATGAAAAGCGTCTAACATATTTGCTTGGGTCCTTTAATGAAAATGTTTTATTTAAGGCCAAACTGCAAATCTGCCCATCAAGCCTCATTTAAAGATCTTCATATCACATTTTTCTAATAATGATCAGCAGTCTTATCTAAACAGAATGTTGGCTAAAGCCTGTCTTATGCAATATGTCAATGGGATCGTTATATCCCTTTTTGTAAGACTTTTTGGTTTTTTAAATTATGACAATACTGTATGACATATGCGTTAAATGTCAGTTTCGACATTACCATGAAGTCACAATGGCATCAAAATGACATAACTCCGCCTAGGTGATCACGCTATATCATTTTGTTCATTGAAATAAAAAATCATTAAAACTGCGAAAGGTTTGTAGAATACTACTGCAATTACAAGTGTCAAACAAAAAGACCTTAATCTTGCATCCTACATCATTAGTGATTATTATCTTCATGACATATATGTTAACTTTCTTCAATATTTATATAGATTATATTGGATAAACAATGGTGATCTAGTGAGCATGAAACCAGATGGATCAGAGCCTAAATATCATGCATATGTAGGTTATGCAACTCATATAGCGATATATCAGGTAAATTGTTCGGGATTCTTATTTTTTATGGATATATACAGAAGTTCGAACAGTACAACAAAGTATGAATAACAAGAATGTGTCCATAGTACACGGATGCCCCACTCGCACTATTATTTTTTATTTTCAATGGACCGTGAAATTGGGATCAAAAATCTACTTTGGCATTAAAATTAGAAAGATCATATCATAGGGAACATGTGTACTAAGTTTCAAGTTGATTGGACTTCAACTTCATCAAAAACTACCTTGACCAAAAACTTAAACCAAAAACTTTAACCTGAAGCGGGACAGACGGACGAACGGACGGACAAACGAACGAACGAACGGACGGACGGACGAACGGACGAACGAACGGACGCACAGACCGAAAAACATAAGGCCCCTAGCTGGGGCATAAAAATGTGTTTTTTATATTTAGTGAAAATCCAACCATGACAGACTTGAATAATAATTATAATCCATTTAAATTGTGTAGAAATTTAAATCGTAAATCCATGATTCTGAATATATATAAAGTTCACTGAAGTCTATAATGTTGACTATACGCTATTTGTCCGCCATTACTGGACATCACAAAGGTTTCCGTAAACTTTTGACGTCATAATAGAAAATATCTGATGCCACAATGGAAAAGTGATTGTTGTATGACGTCAATAGTTCAAGCGGCGCAGATTCTCGGGTCAAGCAGTGCAGATTTCCAAATAGCGATAAGGTGTATTGACGAAACCAGAAAATAGTAATTTAGTGCAAAAGTGTACCATTTAGATATGGCATTGTATTTATCTATGATGCATCCCATAGTTTTCACTGCAGCATCAAAATGGAGTAACATGCTTTAATTATTTTATTTCATAATGATTATCATCTTTGTTCTTACCAAATTGTTTGATAATGTAAGATAGCTGAATGTATATTTATATGTGAAAGACAGAAAATATGTCGTTATATTCTTTTTTTGTTAAAATTAAATAGGATTACACACTTTGGACTTCTGGTGACGACATTCTGGAAATCGCCCATTTAGATTCGTATTATCCTGATACTACAGTCACTGCCAATGATTTGAATATCATCAAAGGATTAGGAGTCTACGATGTAGACCTACAGCCAATGGAGATCAGTAAGTTTAATGCATAAATATATGGAATAACATTAACACTTTAATCATGCAGTGAGTGAAATGTTTTAAATCGGTTTCAAATAGGAACAAACTATATTTTTTATGGGTTTCAGGAAAAGAAGTTGTCTTTACTTGTACCTGTTTGGTACAGTAATCATATCATTTATATTTTAGATTGTGTATGAAATATACATTTTTAAGAACACAAATTCAGATCTATAGACTTTAAAGAAAGTTTTCAGTCAGATTATTTATCTTTGAATCCTTCATGTCAAGTTATCTCTTATTCAGTTTTTTCTATCCAAATAAAAATGGTTACCATATATTAAAATTATTAAATTGTCTTACTCCGGTGTATACACTATTTCAAAAGTTATAGTGTTCATACATGCTTAGCTTATAGTCAGAATTGCAAGTTACTTTGAAAAAGAAGAAACCTAGAATATCAGACAATTATTATACAATTTTAAATATAATTTGTGACTATTTAATAAATACTAATCATCCTCAATTAACGAAAATAAAACAAAAATAATGCAATTCCTGTGGAGAGTAAAATAAAATTTCTTACAAATAATCATTTTGAATATTTGAATAACTATGAATATCCATCACCAAACATGCTCCAGGTCCAAAAATTTGGAAGCAAAAAATACAGAAACATTGAAGAGAATTAAACACAAAAGATTCTAATAACAACCAAAATCGTGTAAGGTTATCTTTGCCGCTTTTGAGTGGAAACCTTAATTTTAGTACAAGCACATAATTTCTTCTAATAGTTTATGTTTGTGATTTGGTGAATTTTTAACCTGAAAAACTGTCTCATATAACTAATTTTATGTTTCCATGAATTCTGTTATTACTGTGGTCATCTTACAAACTTGACAGGCATTCACATAAACCGTGTTGGTTCAATAGGCAGAGTCAGATTGATACAGTCATAACCTTTATACACGTTAACTGATAACAGTCAAAAAATGCCCTTCAGAAAATATTATCAGCCTAGCATACAAATCCTAAGGACAGTTCGAGTTCAGCTAATATGTCTTCGGTCACAGCTGGAACATACCTGTCCTGAAACTGATTTGATGGAATAGGCTAGACAAAACTTGTTGACGGGTATCTTCTTGACCAGTCATATGAATAAGTCTGATCCTAAGCACACCTGTTGCATGATTGCTTTTGGCTATACAAGGGGGCATGTTCCAACCTATTTGCTTTGTATAATGTGATTGTTATCTCTAAGATTTGCAAACTTTAAAAAGATATCGATAGGATACAACTTATTTCTGTTTTTGGCGACGATTTCTGTTATTCAAGTGTATTTAGAAATACACTTTTATATTTATGCGCTTTTATTGTACTACAAAATGGTAGAATTCGCGATTCAGCTGATATAATATGGCCCTATAATATTTGAATCATCTTAACCTCTACATGTTTATGTTTTATTATTTTTTTATCAGATAACTGCTCAAACTACAACGGAGGATGTCAACATATTTGTCAGCCAACAACAACTGGAATGCAATGTTATTGTAATTTTGGATATCAATTACAAGCTGATGGGAAGTCCTGTTCAAGTAGTAAGTACATTCATTGTTTTGAGAACATCAGTTTTTATCTTTTATCATTTTTTTTTTTTTTGGTTTTAAATTTGTAAGCTTGTTAAAACAATATTTATATCATATAAACCTACGGCTATTTAAATTTTTTTAATGTGTCCGACAATACGGTACAAGATTCGTTGAGATCAAACAACACACAGTTTTGGCCTCATGATATTGAAGAACCAAAGAGTGAAACTATTAAACATATTTTAAAATCATTAAGTAAATTTATATCAGAATGGTGTTATTTTGTTTAAATCCTATATATTTTCATACAAAATTCTGTTTCAAAAAGTTTGCATTCATTGTCGTGTATCTTTTTCAGTACCTTTTTGATGTAAGCAATGCTAATTTTTGAATGCACATGAATCATTTATAACATCTTTATTTATACTTATACCTACTCAATTTGTATACTTTTAGCTCCTTTTGATGATTCCTTTGCACTCCTTCCCGATGTTACACATGACAAAATATATCAAGTATCCTTGTCAAACGGGGAACTGCGAGCACTAGATATTCCTGACGTCGACGTTCCAGTCTCTATTATATATGATAAACCAACAAAGAAACTATACTGGACTAATGCTGTCAAGACAGAAATCCGAAGTTCCCCCCTGAAGGCAGCAGTATCAGAAATAATTTATGATACCTGTAAGTTGGTATCTATGATTAATTTTTTTTCCCAACGTGTATAGTTGTATGAAACATTGGTTATAAAAATGAAAATTGTGTAAAATTCGAATATTAATATCAGTTAACAAACACGTGTCTTTTTTAACAATCTTATAAGGTACTTAAGAATTCAACAATTGTTGTCCTACTTATTTGGGGAATAGTTTAATTCGATCTCTGTCCTAACAAAACTAATTTCCAACTACGCAGAACAACTCCGAGAGTAAGATCAGACGGCCAGTTTTAACACAAGGGTTAGGCCAATACTCCCATTACAACGCAGGCTAGTACAATATTCCCATAACAATCAGAGAGTAGGGTTAACTGCGCAGTTCTAATCTGAAGGTTAATACAATACTCTCATAAAACAAGGGTTAGTACAGTGCTTTTATAACAACTCAGAGAGTAAGGTCAACAGCGTAGTTCTAATCTGAGGTTTAGTACAATACTCCCTTTACTAGATGAACTATTACAATAATCCCATAACAATAAGGATAGGAACAAAACTCCAATAACAATGAGAGTTAGTACAGTAATCCAGGTTAGTATAATGCCCTCTTTACAATGGCTACTGGATGGGTTATACTTTTAAAAACTGTCATTACACCAAGAGTGAAACCATCTGAATGGTGATTACTATAAATATACTATAAATACCGATGTCTTTGCACGCCACACAGGCCCCTATTATGAACAAAAAAGTACACTTGAGATTTAATCTGACTCTGAACCTTCAACCGATAACAGATCGTACGATAACAAATAACAGCTAAAGATGTATAAGTAAAAAAAAGATTAAAGATTGACGGAGTGCTACCTTTTCAGAAGAAAATACACAACAAATAAACAGAAAATCTTATGCCATTTGATAATGGAACGCCAATTTTGATTAGATGACGTATGCTGTCATTTACATGGATGTGCAATTACGGTCAAAGTTTTCTGGATATGAAGATATTTTATTTTGATCATTTCTTGTGTATTTAAATAGCAAAGAGATAAACGTACTATGTTGGATGCACTGCCGCGGATAATGGGGATTTAACTGTTTAAAATTTTCTCCATCTTTGCAACACCAGCAATACGTTATTTGGGAGCATATATGTGTAACCATAAGGAATTTTCTTTCTTTTGGGAAATAAGAATTATAGAAAAGATGTATAATCGGAGAATTTCGGTTATGATAAAGTCCTCAACAAAAATTAAATGGATTGTTTAGATTGTTTTGTTATGTTGAAACATGATTTTTTTTTCATTGTTTACCATAGTGTGTTTCCATTACAGGGTCCACATTACCAGTTGGCTTGGCATTTGATTATTCGTCGGGATTGTTATATTTCACAACAGAGTATTATTGGGATCCGAGTTTCATAGGATGTATTTATCCACACGTAGGAAAAGTCCACAAGATTATTTCAAATTTAGATTTACCAAAGAACATTGCCTTGTATCCATCGAAAGGGTAAGAATTTCTTATGAAATATTGCATAATTGCTATGCATTTCAAGGCATTTGCTTTGACATTCACACTTGTTTTTTGGAAGAACTTTACGATTAAAAAAGCTGGAAGAAATAAAAAAAAAAAAGAGCGTATCATGTTAATGATAAATTTTAAATTGATATTGATAAAACCAACACACTTACAACTTTAAAAATGATAATTAGAAATCCAAATTACCTTCCAATAGAATATATATATTAGTGACAATATTTACTTTTCTCCCTAGAATACTGTTCTGGACTGATATTTCAACAGACCCTTCAAGAAATTCTTATATTGGATCTGCATTTATGGATGGCACCGGGATGAAGAAAATTGTTGATTCGAATGTCAACTCGCCTAATGGAATCGTTATTGATTATACAGGTATTTTCTGACACATACATCATGTACATGACTGTTGAACACATAATTTATTTGAATCCATTTGAAATTCCTTGATACTTAATTAAACCTATGTAACAATATCATCGACATTGTGTGATACTAATCATTCATATTATTTCGAAAGTTTACACCTGAATCTATGTTTTCTCTGTTTTGAAAAAAGATTTATAAAATTGTATTACTGTGTAAAAACGATTAATTTGTAGAATAACTTGAAAATCCTTTTGAATAATTTCATTTTTATTTTTCATTTTTTTAACATAATTTTTAGAAAATTCTCCAGACGGAATTCACCAATTTACATGTTCTATAAGTGCAAAAACTCTTATCTCCTGAATATTGCTATTTTACAAACTTTGGTAAATCTGAGTTTTGTTTGAAATTGTTAAGACAGTTAGTTTTATTATTGCAGCTGATAGAGTATATTGGGCAGATGCTGATCTTAGTACAATATCAAGTTGTAGACTTGATGGTTCAGATAGGAAAATAGTTATAGAGGAACCTGGAGCTATGCTTGTTGGCGTTGATATTTCACCACCATATCTGTACTATGTTGGACGAAATAAACAGTAAGTCATTGTTTAATAATGGAATAATATTTATATTATTATGTTTATTATATATATAAATATAAATATAAAACAACAAAAGAACTAATAAATGATACTTGGAGCATAACTTTGAAAATTAAAATTGTAATTCATTGTACTTCTTCTCTAGCATTTTTTCTGGTAATAATATAATTACAAAATAATGAAAATCCAATCAGTAATGAAAAATTGTTACTTGCACAGAATGTGAAGATACATTTATTTTAAATTTGGAAAAAAAAGTCTAAAGGTAAAATGGGTCAATTAAAAAATATTAAATGGAATAAATGGAGATGTGGGGTGTACGCAGAGAAGACAAAAGCGAACTAAAAACATAACCACTATGATAAATAATATATATAATATAATGATATTAAATGATATCGATAAATGAGATAATTCAGTTGACTCAACGAAATAATATTTGGACAGTGTAAGGTGGTCCTCCTATTTTAGGTTATTGTTTAGTTAGTTTTAGTTTCCTTTTAGCACTGTCTTTTCAGTAAGGTTTTTGCTTTTATAGTAGTTTTGAGTTTAATATATATTGGACTTCAAATATTTAGTTTCCAGCACCACTGATGATAAGTAAGGTTTAAAATGCGCAAATGATGCATACAAATTTTGATCGATATCTTTCAATTTGCTCATTCGCAGGTCCATTTCAAAATTTGATCTGAAGTTGAACACTAAGATAGAATTCATGAATGATGTACATGCACTTGGAAGAATAGAGTCAATCCGAGTATATCCAGAACAAGCACAACCAGGTAAATGCATAATTATGAACATTGTTATATGAAAATTGGTCTGATGGACAATAATAATGTGAGCTATATCAATTTTCGGGACATACAATTTTTTAAGGTGAAAATTTTATAAGATATTATTGTTTAAGATATCGAAAGTCATTATAACATCAATTCTGAAATATTTTTTTTTTACTCAAAGGCTACAGAGGCTACTTTAAAGAAAAGATTCTATAGTCAAATGTAAAAAAAATAGAATAAAAAGTCATGCTATTCGATAAGGCACACAAAATAAAAGTGCCATTATCAGTACATTTGCTGTTTATAAAATGCTCGAATCATTGTCAACAGAATGGCGTTTCTATTTTGTGGGCGTAGGTGGCAAATTTGTACAAGGGTTTAATTATGTGAATTCCTGTTTTCATTTTGTTTAACTTCGTGATTGGTCTTTATTCAAATGCCTGTGATAAGTGTTAAGTAGAAAATGTGATTTTTGCTTTGATTGAACACAATTTAACAAAAATATTTCAGGAGTCTTGTTAATTTTAAGTTTTTTAAATGGCTGCTTTGATCTCATCATCTGTAATGGGTCCCATTTCTATTTCTGTTGTCGATGTAGCCTCCTCTGGACTGTCAACTGAGATTTCTGGTTCAGGTCTATTTAAGACCTGTTCAAAATTCTCTTTCTATCTTTCCAATTGTTATTCATATTTGCATATTATCTGGCCATCTTTGTCTTTGATGTTAGTACTGGTGATATTTACTTTGCCACTGATTTGTCTTGTGATGTTATATAGCATTCTCATATCTCCAACTTTAGATGCTATTTCAGCCTCTTCTGCAATATTATCTATGTATGCCTTTTTGTCTGATTTTGCATTTTTTTCACTTCTTTTTCTTTACTATTATAAATCTCTTTCAGTCCCTCTAGTTGTTTTCCTGTTTCTTGATTGGTTGTTGATTTTAATGCTCTTCTTTCCATAATTAGAGCCCAAGTTTTATCAAATATCCACTTTTTTCTTTGTTTTTGTAACCTAAGATGTCTTTACTTGTATATAAATAAATTTCACTCATATGTTGCCATTCAGAGTTAATGTTAATCTCATTGTCTTCAAGTTGTAAGACCTCAAATCTGTTCTTCAGTTCGATATTGAATTTTAGGTTTGTTTCAGTTCGTTGAAGTTTACAAAAGTCTGTCATCTTGCTTGGTGTTTTGCATTTGTTTTCCTTAATTTTAGTCTGATCTTTCCAATGACTAGATGATGATCACTATATACATCTGCACCTCTTTTCACTTTCACATCTAACAGTGATGACCTCCATTTCTTATTAATCAATATGTGGTCGATCTGTTTTTTCTTTTTCCCATTCGCAGATACCCATGTGGCTTTGTGTGTGTTTTTATGTTCAAAGATTGTTCCTCCAATTATCAGATTGTTTATAATACAATCTCTACTTATCTTTCACCATTGTTGTTAATTTCTCCTAGCCCATGTTTTCCCATCACTTCTTCTAAACCTGTGTTAGCTGAACTTACTGTTGCATTAAAATCTCCAATGATGGTAAGTACATCGTGCTTTGGTGTGTCCATTATCATCTGATTTAATTTATCATAAAAGTTCTCTTTTTCATTATCAAAGTAATCATTCATGTGCCCATACTTAGTCTTCATGCATATTTTTATCATCCTTTCATTTGCTGCTATCCATTTTACAAGACTTGTTTGTTCTACCCAATATAATAGCTACTCTTTCATTGTGTCTACCATCTGTACGTTCTGAATAGTAAATGTCTGTAACTGAAAAGTGTGTAAACTTTCCTGGATCAGTCCATCTGCATTCGCTAACACCCAATATATCTTCATTTCCTGAATAGTTTGAGCAGTTCTGCTTTTTTTTTGTTCATAGTTCCAACATTTCAACAACCAAAAGTTAAAGTTTGTTTAGGACACAGATCAGAATACTAGTACAACTAAATCAAACAGGAAATATAGACAAAACAATTAACACACACACACACACACACCATCATGACAACTAAATATTTATAAATACATGCATTTGATGAATTTTTTCCCAGTGGTTATTTTTATCGGTTTAAATAAACGATGCATTCTTATCCATCGAATAAATTGTATTGAGCTCTTTTGTAAATATATCTATAAAATTTTAAACAGTATAAAAAACCTTTCATTCCATCTTTTCCCTTGAAGAGAATGCTCAGTGTAAAAAGGAGAATGGTGAATGTGCTTTATTTTGCCTGCCAACTGCCACAGGAAGAACATGTGCTTGTGAAGATGGCGAAACACTTAACGCTGATGGCAAAACATGCACTGGACGTAAGTCAGAGTAACGCACTTTAGAATGTAATTAATATTTCCTTTGTAACTCCGTATACTGCATAATAAACTTTCATTTGAACAATTGATGTTTTGTTCATACATTGGTTTCCTTTCAAATAATGATAGAACGGTAAAAATTAACATTTATTTTAAATGTATTCTCTTCAAAATACTAGTACCAAAGCATAGGTTACTGAGCGAATCGTAACCTCGACGTTATGACAGTCATGTGCAGATACTTTACCTATTTTAGTGCACACGAATAGTGTTTCTGGAATTTTATTTTATGAAAGATCATGATTAAACTTGTAAGATAGTCAACAATACATTAATATGTTGGTCTGAACTCAATACTTTCAAATGTAAATCTTCATCTGTGTAACTATCATTTTTGTATTGTTACAGATATCACCTGTACTTTGAGAGTTCCAAATGCCATCCTTGAAGATAGATGTATAGGACATGCAACTGGAAGTTGTAATTTTACTTGTGCAGCTGGATACGAAAAAACTGTAGACACATTGGATTGCGATGAAAAAGGAAACTGGAATCACCCCATCTATACTGCTTGCCAAAGTAAATCCTACATATTTTTACAGTACAGTTGGTTACTGTCATAACTTGTACATCAAGATAACACGATGACCAGATATTTTGACTGGTTAAAGTTAACTTGACATGTTTTATGACTTCCCCGACAGGTTCTTAATCCGTAAAAAGCAAACTTGGTCTTTGTACTATTTTTATGACTGCCGAAAAAATTACAGTTCCGCTTCTGGTGTTAACTCGAGATGAAATTAAGCTCAAATGAATACTGCACACAAGTTAACTTCAACTCGAAACGCCCCTTTTGAACCATAACTGTCACCGCTGGTTTTGTTTGATGAAAGCTGAAGTAAACCTGTGATGAGAACAGCTTTGTATCTATTTATGAAATATTTCAAAATGGCTTGTTCTGGATATCAAAATGCAACATTCTATTACATACATTCTGATGTACAATTTACAAAATACAAAAAAGTTATTTTTGGTTATAGACAAAAGAGATTATTGTCTAATATCATTGATGAAAACGACTGGTGAAATGAATATGTGCACAATCTGTTCATTTTAATAACAGATGTGTACACAATATATTGTCCACACTTGATCAAAACGTCCCAACAAACCCGATATAAGTCTATCTGTGTGTATATCACGTCAGGAATGTGCGTGTCATAATTCATTCTATGTTTAAGCCCCCTTTTTGTTATGTATGTGATTCTGTTTGTTTTTAATATTAAATATAACAGTTAATTTATTCAACTTCATATAAGATAAATAACTTGTTTACATTGAAAATTAAACGATATTTTAAAACAAAATCAGACATCATTTTTGAAATTTATAATTATAAAAATTCAGTTTCATTACCGCCTGTTCTATTCCCGGTTTCGACTGATTGTGGATTCGCTTTGAGGGCAATGCAACCATAGCAGGAGATGATTACCTTGTCGACGCACCCGGTCTCGCTTATATTTGAATCCTCATTTTTGCTAAGCTATCTAGAGGTTTGATAATCAGTAACTGTTTTTCACCACACAAAGTAATGGAAAACGGACAAGTACTATGCAAAGAGTAAATGTTTTCTGTTCAAGTTGTTGAATTGCCTCTACAGCCATTTTTAAATTATCTAATTAATTGATTATAAGTATCAGTTTATCATCATTACTTGTATCTTTTAGGTGTAACTGGTACGTGCAGAGCTTTCATTCCATATGGACACGTCACGCCATCTTGTGATAAGAAAATAGGAACAACATGCTCATTTGTATGTAATGCAGGATATGTTGCAAAAGATAATGATCAGACTATATTATGTACAGCCAGTGGTGCTTGGGATAAGCCTTTAGGAGACCTCTGTGTTGGTAAGTGATAATTTTTATTGACTGTTTGATTGTTGCTTGCTTAACGTTCAGTGGTAAAGATCTTTTGTATCTATTTGATTTATCATTTTGATCAATGTTTTGAATAAAGGAAGTGAAATCTGTAAATCAAATTGTTGATTTCAATGAAATATAGTAAAGAGTTAACTATAAAAATGCTATAAGAATATAGGGTACCCTTTCTTAGCCATATCAATACATGTAAATAGCAGATATATAATCAATCGAAAAGTGTTCTTTTATGTTTTATTTAGCTATATGTTCATGTCTTCTTTTATGTATTATTTATCTATATGTTCATGTCATTTATTTTGTTGTTGTTGTGTAAATATGCTTTAAATGTATGTGATTTATGATTTAAATTAAACAAGTCTTTATTTTTTCCTCTAGAAAAAGGTAAGAAAGTTTTAACCCAATACCCATTTGCCTTTTAGTTGTTTAAGTTTTTATCAGTTTCATTTGTGTTGGTCATATATAAGTTGCTCATTGATATCCTTATTTGCATTAAACAATAAAGGATTATGTAAAAATAAGTCAATTACATTTTTAATTCAAACTAATATGTATATCTGAATTTGTAAAGCAATTCATTTACTAGAACTAGCTTAGATTATGGCTTACTGGGTCAAAATTATTATATAATCTTAAAAAAAGACAAAAAGGGAAAAATTAAGAGATGAATCCTGATGTGCAATTTGAAGTCTATATAATTTTGAATTCATACAATAGAAACGTTTAAACAAAGTTTATAAGTTGATATCAGATAAACAATCAATTGTAACAGAAATGCATGGTAATATCATAAGTCATCTTGAGAAATTACCTTTATTATGAATAACTTTCAAGGAACACACACATTCATGAAACTGATAGAATTTTTATAACTTGGTTTAATATTCCCAAACTTAATGTTGTCTTTACCTGCATTTACTTCCATTTCAATTTTCTTCCTTTAACCTGACGAAAATTAAATAAAAAGACGCTAATATGAAGAATTAGTATGTTTTAAAAAAGTTTCTGAAACACTATTCATTTGGTTTTGACTCTTGTCTTTGATCAATTTACAGTGGCTCCATGTTTTAAGGTTTTAGTAGCCTGTCGCTACTAGGACATGTTCGAATCGATTATTTTAGATTTTAACAAGGTGTTTCACGGCTACTTGAACATTTCCATTTTTTGCTTTTAGAGTGTATAAGGATCCTGTCACCATTAAAAACTCCAGTCATCTATTGGAACTTTCTATAAACACTAGTTTTGTCATGAATAGGCATAACTTATTAATAGATGTAGTCACTTTTCAAGGTCGACTAAGTCTTGTGAAAAATTAATATAGATAAAGAACAAACTTCAATTGTTAATATTCAACTTTAATTTAAAGACTGGACACATAACATGACCATTAGCACACTCGTTTGTTTCTTTCTGTCAGTTTGAGCATGCATTAGGTGTTTGGATGATGAGATGTATTTTCAACCTTTCAATATCTTCACATAGTTTTAACAAAATATTCGCCAAGTTTTATTTGAGAACGACCGATTAATTGTATTTGACATCCCATTGCAGTCAGATAAACTGTTTGGTGATTGTATTTTATTATTGATTGTAATTTTGCATCAAAATGTATTATAAACATCTTAACACCACCATTTCATCCTCAGGTCGTTTGGTAATATAAAGAAAAGATGACACAATGTGTATTATGTGATATAGAATGCATTACCGTTTTGATATAAGACAATTTTGATTGCAAATCTGGTCCGATTTTCTGCAGTCATTTTCGATCCAATGTGGTGAGACACATAAATACAATCTTAAACTTGCAGGCAATGCAGAATCGTAAAGTTTATTGAATTATATTTTATATGAGGGTTGACAATTGAAAATTCCAATCTATTTCAGCATACAAAACTTATATTTGAAGAATAATTTTTGGTGACTTTGAAATTTTATTTTTTAGCTTCCGCCATTTATTGTCCAAATACTATTACAAATGGCCGGCTTGATTCGCAGTGTCCACGTTCATCAGGAAGTCAATGTGACTTCTCGTGTAATCAGGGCTACACGAAAAATACCGATATAACTGCTTTGGTTTGCCTTGGAAGTGGACAATGGAATATTAAAGGAGAGTTATGTAAGCCAGGTATGTATTATATAAGTATCTCCATTATGGAGGATTGGCGGATTTTACCTGAAAAGCTAGTTTGACATCTTTTTCGGTAGTCCTATAGGGTTGAATTTAGTTATTCCTTCATGATATCTTATCTTGGAGTTCCGTATTTTTGTTATACTTTTTTTTTTACAATTTCTTAGCAGTAGCATACCCTCTGCCCTATTGTATGGAGTTTACATATCTCAATTGCATTTCCACACTATACGAGTTTTTTTGGCAGAAGGAGTACTGCTTACACAAAGATGCTCCAACAAAGTTTTGAGGAACAACGATTGTGATAAAAAAAAACATACCCATGATTGGTTTTTGAATTGATTGATTGATTGGTGTTTAACGTCACTTTCAGCACTAATTGCTATTTCGTGGCGGTCAGTTATTTATTGGTGGTGAGAACTGGAGTGCCCGTAGAGAACCACTGACCTACGGTAGGAAAACTAAAAATCCTAGTAAATTAAAATTGGAGTGGAACACAACTGCCACGTGCGGGATTCGAACTCATTACCTCAGGCTAGTTATACAGAAGTTTGACTACTTAGGCCACTCGACCACCGAGGACCCCGAAACGCATTATTGGTACCGTTAATGTGCACGAATTGATTGAACGATACGACATGTCTGTGTTCCAAATCAAAAGCGACATGTTTTCGTAGCCTTTGATCTATAAATACTAGAAAAGTCGTCGAATTTGTAATTATACCCACTGTGTATTATTCCCGATTATGAAATTTTAACTGAGTGTGGATTCGCAAAGTGGATAATACATACATCGAAGGACACGTTTATCCTGTCAACGCACCTGGTCTTACTCCGGTTGGGGTTTCATGTGATTGGGATTCATGTTATTCCCTCAATTTTTGTTTGTTACCTTGATTTGTTCCTATTCGATTTGTGAGATTTGAATATCGGTAAACTACTGTTACAGCAATTTACCCACATTTAGATGGTCTGCAAATTTCTTATCATGCTACGGAAATTCTCTCAATAAAACACACTTGACGATATATCAGTTTGTAGACAATAGGAAGACCTTTTTTTGTACAATGACTGAAATAACTGAGAAATGCTTAAAACTAACGTATGCTTTCAATATCTTCTTTTTATTAGAATCAACAGTACGATGTCCATCAACTATAAAAAATGGTGCCTTTGGCAATCAGTGTTCCTTCAGAGTAAAAGCCTCATGTCCTTATGTTTGTGATAATGGATATGACAAAAATCCAATAGTAGACCAAGTAATGTGTATGGATACTGGCCGTTGGAATTTCAATTTGATATCTTTATGTAAACCAGGTAAGAACTATGTTAGGACGAAAGAATATTCGGTTTTAGTAGTATTACTTTCATTGAATAGAATACATGTGATTTTAAAGAGACAGACTGAATAACCAAAAACGACAAAACGTGAACTATGTTAGTTAGACCAAACACTACTAGAGTCACTAAAGGTAAGCGCAAATTCAAACGAAGGAATAAAAAATGCAGGTTATGTTTTCCATGTACATTTATGTAGGTGCTAGCAAAATCAAAAAGCCACGACTTTTGCTGGTGTTTTAAACGTATGAAATTTGTATTTGTATTTTAACGTGAGTTTACTATGTATTTTGGAATGTACTTTATTCATATGGTTTTAGTGCCAACTTTTGTATAGTGTATAGTATGTGCAACAAGCTGTCCAAATGTCAATGACAATACCTTAATTTAGATAAAACATTAATTAACAGCTTAGAATTGAAAAATGTGAGGTGTACTGTATGTTATAGATATTCTGAAAGTTATCGTGTTCATACAAAATTTAGAAATCAGAAATACATGACAAAAATACAATTTGAATACTCGAAAGCACGGATTTGGGTTTTGATCTGGCCATTATGAAATTACTGGAATACTAACAGACCTTATTAAATCAATAAATTCTATAATTCATCGCGGATAAAGCATAACATAAAAATCTGAAATGTTTAAATTCTTTTGTTATGTTTTGTCTGAGTTTATTACATGCATATTCGTTACGTTTTAACCATTGATCTAATTAGTCTCAGATGTAAACAGATCTACCTTGACGACTGTTATTAGGAAAAATGAACGATCACAAAAATGTTCACTGATGATATGATGAATGCCCTTTTGTTTGTGTTTGAAGATAACATGAAGAACGGAGTAGCTTTTATATTTCAGCCTAATACTACAACTTGAAATTGGGAAGGTGTTATTACAAATTAGTTGGGTTTATATTTCATTCGGATAACATTTATATTGTTAGCACTTGAAAATTGATGTCTCTTTGAAATTGTAAAAGGATTATCAGAGATTGCAGATCCTTACCCATACACTTGTGTATTCAAATATCGTTGGAGCTTGTTATTAGTTATTGTTATGTCAGATGTATTTCTTGAACCATTTAGTGAAGAGGTTGGACCGGTGTAGGAAATGTTTACAAACCTTGGCCTAGTGTTAAGAATACATAATTTCAAGTCACCAAATTTAAGTAAATGTATTTCGAAAACTTATTTACGTTCGTAGTGCTCAAAACCAAATACATGCATTGAAATTGTGAAAGCGTAAAAAGTTGGGAATCAACATAGAATGCCAAAAACCAGCTTAGAATATAATTTTCTATACAAAATTCAAAAATCAGAAATACATGACCACTTTTAACTACATTCTTATATTATATTTCTTTTTGATTTATTATTTGTGGGCGCTTGCATTTTTTAACAAAAAAAAGAAAATCGCTTCTTTTAAACAAAAACATTGAATTACCGAAACATTTATTCAGGGAGTCAAAAATTGTTTGTTTTAGTAAAATGTTCATGCGGAAATCCTTATTGTGTTCACTTTTTATATTCTCATGATTTATGTAAGCGATTTCCGTATTAACTTGGTTACTAACACATTAAAGCCGTGGACGAGAAAAAAATAATGCTGGTTAATAGGGATGTGGAAAATTTAAAATTTATTTAGTCTCGTGTTTTGGATGTACACAAACTTGTTCGTTATGTTCGTGGAAACAAATTTAAGTTTTGTATAAACCCAGACGCAAGATCAATTTTATCGTTCGGAACCTAATTTGGAATTTTGTTAACTCATCCATGGCATCACTCAAATGATTAATTGTGTCTTTTAAGCATTTTAAACATGCAAAATATTGTATGAAAAAAATGGCTTATAACTTGTTATGCCACACGTGCTTTTTGTCTACATAAGAACATCAGTGGCGCTTTAATAAAACAGTTGGAAAGTCAAATCAATACAAAGTTGAACATATTTGATATTGCACCTATAATTTGAGAGAGTATGGGGGTAAACAAAATCCTTATTACTTTCTTATATCCTGTAGTTTACTCTTTCCTTTATCTTTCACATTTCTTTATTCCAACCTAACCTGACAACCTCCTCACTGAATGCTTCTAACATGTTATCTATTGTAATGAGTGTGAGTTATTGTTATTTCGTGAATGTTCCTTTTTAGCAATGAGTTCGTGTGAGAAAACTTTCATGCATGGACACTTTCTGGAACCTTGTTCCGGATCACATGATTCCATATGTGGCTATGTTTGTGATAATGGATACATCCAGCAACCAATTGTCCAACATGTCATTTGCAATGATGGTAAATGGGCGGTAGATAGAAATTCGTTGTGCATTGGTAGGTATACTTACCTTCAATGAAATAAGATTTCTAAGAGAAAGAGGGATATTGTGGGTAAAAGATATATAAGGTCAAATAAAGGCAATAGTAGTATACCGCTGTTCAATAGTCATAAGTCAAAATGCGTTGTTACTGTTTTATATAACTTCATACTTGAATTATTCTTCACATTTTTTTATGAAAAAATAATGTTTCGTTTAAACATAATAATCTAAGATAAATGGACCGTTTTTCTTTATGTGTACAATTTTATATTGTACAGCTGTTTGTTTGCATGTGCATATTTTTTGTGCTTATAGAATAACAAACTGTAGCTATTGTAGAAGTAGTGGCGGCGAGAATGAGGCGTTTTGTTTCCGGCGGCTTAATTGGCGTCGGCTAGTTGTTTCAGTTTTAATTATGTCAGTTTGAGGGGAACCACAAATGATAAATCATGATATTTGTCTTACATTTGTATAGGATTGGCACATGTCATTGCTATGTTTATTGTCTAACCCTGCCACTCAAACAAGATCGTGATATTTGGCTTACATTTGTATAAGGATTGGCACATCTCATTGCTATGGTTATTATCGAACCCTGTCCCTCAAACAAGGTATATTAACAAGTTTGTGATTAAGCCAACGAAAGGAAAACAACTTACGCATTGTAATGGTCAGTCAATGATATTTTGGGATCCAGTTGTATTAGAATACGAACATCTCGTGTCCTTGAAAATTCCTTGATCCGCTTCCTCAGTCATGTATCAATGAATTTGAAAGTTTTGCATAGTTTACATGTTAAAGTGTTGCAAATTAAAGCAAATATCAGGAATAGTTTGGTTGAATTGACAAACAGCACATGGATCGCCATGATTATTGTTATGTCAGCGAATGTATAGAAGCAGAACTCACCGACTATGAGAATATCATTATTGGAGAAGCCTGAGATCTTTATTATGTTTCAATATGCATGAGGTAAAAAATAAAAACCACGAGTTTTGGTAAATTAGTAATGTTTATGAATTCACTGTCGTCTCATGGATATATATCTTAAAAAAAAATGAAAAACAGTTTTAAACCAACACTTCATTATCATATTAAATGCATTGATTAAAGTTTAATTCTGCAATTTTGTAGAAATTTTGAACTACAATTGATTTTAGGTCCAACCCTATATGATACCGTCTATACAATGCAGTCTTTACAGGTTTTCTGGTTCATATAGTTATCAGCTTAGTATATGAAAACGTATTCGAAAAGTATTCAACAATATATTTCGATATCATTTGATGATGTGCTTGGAAACGTGAATGCTACAAATCTTAAAAGCAAACACAAGACACTGATCTCAGATTTCACAACGCTTGTCTTTTTAACAACCTACTCCACTACAAGTTTGGAAAATAAAAAAGCTAAAAAAGCTTGAGATCAAAACTAAAAGCATCAAAATAGTGTTTAAACTGGAGAACTCCGACTGTTGTCGCTAGTAGACCAAAAACCTACTAACTCTTTGGAGCACATTATTTCAACCCCGTTATGTTCTGAAGTTTTTGTTACTCAATCCGTTTTTATAAAAAATAAATTTGTGGTTTTTGATTTCCTCCTTGGTATTGGCACCATTTATTATGAATAATATTTAGCATATATCTATTGATAAGAACGACTTTTTCGTTTGATACTAATACAGAATCTGAAATATATTTATCATGCATTCGCATGTAATTATCAGTAGTAAATAGAAAGTACTTTTATTATGAAAAATATTTGGCCTCGTGCCATCGTTGTAGGTAATACAATATTTGCTAGCAGCAGGTAGAGGAAAGCATACTCAATTAAGTCTCGGTTCGGTATTTGATAAGATTTATTGGTTCCATATTCCGACATTAGGCTGTTCAGAATAAATAAAAAAACATAATGCAAGGTGAAAAGAGTATTTGAATAACCTCGTATGACCGAAAAATTAAAAACAAAACACACAAAGTTTGCCTTCAAGAATAAATACGTACAAAGGATAAATTCCTTTGATGTGAAAGGATTACTTTTCTTTTTGAGACGAAACGCGTGTCTGGCGTACACAATTTCAATCCTGGCATCTATGATGAGTTTATTTAATTTATGCCTCTTTCCGTCTCTTTTACTTTATGAATGATGAAGTTATCGTCCAATAGCTTATCTATTGATCTAACACCAATCAAAAGCCAATTGATATCTGAAAATATACGCAACACACGTTTATTAAATTCTGAAAGGGATCGAATTTAATGAGAATTGAGGAATAGTTATTTACAGTTCTATTATATTTACTTTCAGAACAAACAGGAAATGTGATGTCTCCCCAGAAACAGGTTTCAGAAGGTGCATCCTCAGGTGCTGTTGTTGGTGCAGTTATTGCTGCTGTTGTTATTACTGTGATAGTAGTACTTGTCATCGTGTTTTTCATATTCAAGTGAGTATTGAAATGAAAAATAATTGTATGATTGTCAAAATATTTTTAATAATAAAAAGGACACAAAGCAATATTATAAACTTATTATCACATACTATCAAATAAATTCTCCCTGGAATCTTTTAGTACAATCCTTTTTATAATTATTAACGATGGAATGATATTATCTGAAAAAAGCAAATATGAGCTAGTCGCCTTAGATTTATTCATCACTCGTTGTTTTTTGTCTCGTCCATTGCCTATTTGTAACTGTATTTTCGCTGGAATCTTGTTCTTGGACAGGTCTAAATATTTTATTATTTCGACAACGTTAAATGATGTTGTTACGTTTATAAAATATAACTGATACCAATAGGGATATACAAAATTTGGAAATACAAAAGAGGCTATCAGATAGTCCCATCTTGAAAAACAAACACCAACTTGGCAAAGAGAAAAAAAATTTGACGCAGCACAAGATGGGAGAAGCATAAATTTAGTAATGAAACACATATTAAAGTTTCTATTTTCTCATCTTAATTTGGTGGAGCAGGATCTGGAGCACCTCAGTTCACCCTGTTTTTTGTGGGTTTCATGTTGCTCAGTTTTTACTTATCTATGTAGTGTTTTGTATACTGTTGTTTGTCTTTTCGTATTTTGCCATGACATTGTCAGTTTGTTTTTGCCATGACATTGTCAGTTTATTTGAGTTTGAATGTCCCTTTGGTATCATTTGCCCCTCTTGTTTTCTTTTCATTGATGTAACTAACACTTTATACAGGTAAAATAAAAGATTTTGATCATTTGTTTTGTTATTTTAAGGATGAAGCGTTTTTGTAAGCAAATCTCTTTGTAAAAGACATATTAATTATAGAATAAGGACAATAGTGTCATTCCAAATTACTTGATTTAAGTACACTAACCTGGTTATAGAAGTTGATACAATATACTTTTATTAATTTCAGGAAAAGGACACCTGCAGGACAATATGTTTCGAACAATACCAACTTAAAATTTAAACGATTCGATGACACCAATGTGCCAGTCGAACAAGGAATAACTGGGTTTTCAAACCCTATAGCTAACCAACCTGACTATGGCAATTTTAGTCATCTCCGTGATGAAGGCTATGTCACTACAGAAATCAATCCAACATATGAAGGAGCAGATCCAAAAGATGTTAATTTAGACGTTGCCAAATCGCCGTCAACAAATGGTGTTCGTACAAACAGCGAAGCATAATATGATTATTGGTTAACTTTTGAAATAATAAGCACAGCTTAAAATATATGAACTGTGGTGCATTGTTTACATGCAACACTCATTACAAAGTACTACACAAATCCAGCATTATTGCAAGGAATCATATACATTTCAGTCTGGTCGGTTAATACATAATATCTTGTAATACAATGTGAAGAAATTGAATGGAAACAATGTGTAAAAATGTATTGCAAGCAACAGTTATTATTTATTCAATCGTGTGATTTATATTGTTCAAGTGGCCTTATTCCAGTTTATGCAGTGTTTTTATAAACTTTAGAGACATTGAGAATGTGTATGTACTTTTCAAAATACGTATGACCATAAGAGAAACAATATTCTGATTTGTTTAGAATTAATGTAAAGCCCTCTGTTGTTAATTGATACAGATTACTTACTATTTTTTTCAGTTGCACTTGGTAGGACACTCAATGCTTCGATGTGAAATATTGTTTTGTATTGTAGTTGTTAGTGGAATAAGTTTAAAATTTAATAACATGTACCGTCCAAACAGATTTTTTCAAAAGTATGTTTATATTGTATAAAAATAGGAAGATGTGGCATGATTGACAATGAGGCAACTATCCACCAAAGACTAAAGGCAGAAGATTAAACAACTAAGGGTCACCTATACCATATAGTAAGCTTTAGAAGGGAACATGTCAACGGAGAAATCGAACGGCCTGACTTATGCTAAAAATAATAAACGAAAAACAAACATGGCATAAATGGGATACTAGTAGTTGTTTCATTGGCAATCATACCACATCTCCTTATTTTATACAGACAATTAACTACCAATGATAACCATTGTATTACAGGCACCCGACCTTCATTGTGTTTATTTATCCAAAATTGTTTTGAAAGTTTTATTGATTTTACCTGAGCTATTACTCTACAAGATTCTTCTAGTAATTACAACTTTCTCTATATGATATAGCGTGCCTTTGCTTTTTTTTAAAGAAGGTTTGTTTGAATACAGTTATTCACATGTTGATGAATAAAGGTCGATAAAGGTATCAATATGTGGTCATCCTGAATCTCTTATAGTCAGTTCAGAGTTTTAATTAATTAAAAGAAACTTTATGCTGAAAGGCAATTCATTTTTTTTTAATTTTCATTGATAGCTTTTTTGCCAACTTATACTAAAAAAGTTTGAACTATTAACCTATACAGGATTTGATTTATGAAAGGATATAAATGAATTAATTTAATTTTGCAATACATTGTACTTCAAATGTACATATTTTGTTTTTTTATAATTTAATGAAAATGTTGATCTCGTTTTTCCAAAAATGTATTCATTAAAATAATAAAAGCAGGAATTGTTTGTCCAAAGCTTCTTTTATATGAAAATAAATAACAAACAATTTATAAAAAAAAGTGAGTGTTAATCTATCTCAGTGTCTTTATGTCTTGCATATTTAAAAATATCTGGCAAAATGGGAAATTTAATGTTAAAGTATGTCTTTAAATTTTCAGTAATTTTGTAAGCATGACACAAAAACTTCTCTATTTGTAACATTCATTGTTCCTAAAGAATTGTGTCCTGTTGTTTACACAATGTTAAAATATTTGGTAGGAGGGTGTCTGTTCTCTTGCGGCTAAAAGGTCGGTATAAATTGGTATAGAAAACTGTTGATTAGTATGGCCTAGTTTTTATTCTTTTCACGACATGTATTTCTGTCATGTAAAGAATATGCTCTCAATATAAGTGAATCTGGCACATCTTTAGGCTTAAAAGTAATTTCAGTGACGTATATTTTTTTCTAATATTTAGAAAACAATTGAGAAAAACTGCATTTACTTAAAGTTTGAGGATTTTTATCAATTTAAGTTTAGAACCCTCATCCACCTTCAGTTATGTTATATTTTTACATTTGTTCATTTACTGTAGATAAACTAATGTGTGACGTAAATATTTTTTTGTAAGTTTTGAATATTCCATATACTTATCCATATATACAAGAAATCATTTTTATAAAGTGTAAATAGTTATGAATATATGTGTATTCTAATTATATATCTGTATTGAATCATTTTTTTACATTGTATTTAGGGCATTATATTTGTAAGTGTAAGCGAATTATTGTTGAATTCTTAGATTTCATTTAATGCAAAAAAGATATTGGGCTGGTCCCGTATATTTTTACCATTACAATGTAATACAAATTATCAAATACAGATTATTTTCAATTTAAGATAAATATATTGATATTAAAGTTTGACTTTTTGTAAAGTAATTCGGATGTTTTATTGAATTAAACGATTTACACTTGGTTTTGATATAATTAGACACAATGTGCTCTTTCACATATCATAATTTTGGACATTGCTCAGAATAGCTAAATTTAGGCAACAGTATCAAGTTGCTCCTTTTAATCAGGTTATTTCATATATCTTACAGAGTATATGTAGTTTGAAAATTAATTCTGAGTTTCATTGATAAGTTATGGGGTGTTTCCTGGCTTTTAATCATTTCTTGTATTGACAATTATAGTAAGACATTTTACCCATTTTTAGTATGTTGGTTCAGAAGTATCTTCCTCCGGGAAGAATAAAAAGGAAATGAGATAATCTTTCCAGTTTAAAAGAATAATTGTGTTGACATATTTTGATCTAGTTTTCTAGCAACGGAACCGAAGTGTTACCTTAAATTGGGGGGATATGATTTGAAATGCAAGCAAAAACGACATTGTGTGCAATATATTTTTAATCATTGAAGCTGTGCCTAACTATTTCATTATCGATCTTGTTATTTATTTAATACACGAACAGGGTTATTTATATATTGGGGTTCTACGGAGGACACACAACCCTTATCCCAAAGTTACAAAAATTTGAATATAACATATCTTTTTTTCCTAATGAGGTTGAGATACAAATAGGGCTTTAAAATCTAACACAATATTTCAAGATACATTAGAATTAGAAATTATCTAATACACAAAACGAGATTTGACAAAATCTTTGAAAGATAAAATTTTGTATAGTGACTTTAAGAGCGTTGAACTGCAATGGCAGCGTTTAAAAGGCAAAAACAACAATGAAATCAAGGCGTTATTTAACTTTTTAGTATTTTTATTTCAATAATCAGAAGTTTGTTGTATACCTCAGTACAAACAGTTCAGTTGATTAATGAGAAACTTGTTAAGGAGATATTAAGAAATGAAATAGAAGAATGGTGTGCAGAGAGATTATCATTATTTTATGTTATTGAATTGTATTTTTCTAAATAAAGAAAAAGACAAATGATGTTGTTTTATTCTAATATAGTCTAAATGCATCATTAACGCTTACCAATTACTACTAAAATCATATCCGAAATTAACCATTTCATAAACTATAAAGATTTGTATTTCACTAATATATAAAAAGGATAACAAGAATAACAAAAATTATTAAAAGACCACACTAATCGCCAGCAATCGACTTGTCCGACTAAAACATGGAGGTGCTAAAGAAGACAATGAACAACAAAAAGCAGATGGTCCACGTAGCCCGACTTGGGTGATGTGGTGAGTTACTATTTGAGACGAGATATGATAAAGTTAAACCAGTTTTACGTGCCCACAGACCTACCCTTTTCCCTGTGTAGACCATATATCGTTTAAAAGCACAATAAAAAAACCTGTTCATTCCAGCCTTTAACAGAATGACCACTTACTTTTACAGGGAATCTAAGATTGCACACAATTATTATAGAGCTAGTTAGTTGATCACGTCAGCAGTGCGTGTTGTCAACAGAAATAAGAACTTTGAATTCCATAGTCCAAATATATCTGTATCGATATAGTTTTCACTTATAATCATAAATATAAACGTAACTCTAGTTCTATCACAAAAGTAGCAATATTAAACTTAAACAAGATATTTATTCAAACAGTCGTTTACAGCATTTGCATATTAAAGAAGATTCCTGATTCTAACTAAATAATTTCACACATGTAAGCAGTATACTAAAATCTTTTAAGTTTGCATACAAGATACAGACAGAGAAAGGTTTACAACAGTTAAAATGGCATGAACTCCTCACGGACGGGAACAGTATGAATCTATTTTTATGCTTTTATTCATTTATGACACCACACTAGTGTCCAGTAGCGTAAATTATAAAGGTATGAATAAAAGAGGTGTTCGGTATACGTCAGCTTACAGTGCCCTGCATAGAAAGTAGACCCCAGTGTACACATGAACCACTAAAATTCTTAGATTTGAGAGAAACTGGTCTGAACATGGTAGTCTAAAGAAGACAATTTCAACCAGAAATCCGGACTTGCACGATTTTTTTGCGATGTTTGACCACGTCTTGAATCTGCAATCGACAGTAGTAGTTACAGAAGCGTATTGGAATAAAAACGCGGTCAGTTATGCTATGTCCGAAGCGCTTTTCTGGATTAACCTTCTTTAGGAAGCTTAAACTAAAAAAAAACTTTAAAACCAATCCTGTATGAGTACTAAGGGAGCTACCATTTGATTTTTATGGGGGGGGGGGGGGGGGGGGGGGGGGCTAGGATGACATTTGAAAAAAATAGGCAGGACAGGAGTTTTGAGTAAAAAAAGGCAGGATGAGATTATTTGCAAAAAAAAAGGCAGGATGACAATATGACAATTTATGTAAAAAAAAGTCAGGATAAACTAAAAAAAAAAAAGGCAGGACTGAATAGAGTGAAAAATAAAAAAGCAAGACCGAATAGAGGGAAAAATAAAAAGGCAGGACAAAATTTTTCATCCTAGCCCCCCCATAAAAATCAAATGGTATCTCCCTAAAGGGATCATTAACAGCCAACTCGATCTAAGGTCAACTTTGCCCGAAGGAGTTAAGATATCTTAGTTTCTAAATGGTTTTTTTTATCAACGAGGAATATAAGAAAGGTATGCTATAAATCATGCTAGTACCGAAGTACTGACATTAAATAGGGCATTCAGGGGTAATAACCGGGTTTTCAGATTTTTCCAAAAATTTCAAGATACATTGAAAGTAACCTGCTGATAATTGTATCCAGTGCCAGATGTGCCGTTACTGCTTTAGTTTTTGAGGGAAAAGCCAAAGACTACAGTTTTGTTTTACTCCCTTGTTCTATGTTAAGCAACAGCTGTCATATCTGTTGACCAATCAAAATCTCGGACATTATTTATCAACTAGAAATTCAAAACAATATTTACACTAACTTCAGTACAAATTCGTCTAGTGGTTTCAGAGAAGAAGAAGATATTTGATAAATGTTTACGCCGACGACAGATGACGGACGCCAAGTGATATCAATATGTCACTTGAATTTATTATCCAGGTGAGGCAAAAAGCATCAATAACCATTCCCTCAAATTTTTGCAAATCATTACATATTTGTGTGTTTGGGAGAAATACTTGCTTGTCGTACTGCAAAGTCACACTAAGATCGAAACATATTTACAACTTGAAGGCTGTGTTTGTTTTGAAGGATGTTTATTAAAATAGAATTAAAAATCATATAAGAATTACAAATGAAAAAAGATCGCTTAACAACGGAAAATCACTCAAATTATATTGTGTCTGAAACTTTTTCGCACGATGCTGTTTTTTATTTTGCAGAACAGCGTTAATCGAAATTTTTCATTTGTAAGAAGTTTGCAAATTACCATTCAAATATCATGTCGAAAATGGTTATTTTCGATGAAAAATTGGTAGGTATATCTATAATGAGACCACTTAGCCCCACACACACAAAAGCTGAAGGAAAACTGTTTGAGTTACTGAGTTACTAAATACAGACTACACGAACACTCTGGCATTTATGGCAAACACTTTTGGATACCGGTATATATGTCTGAAGTAAAGTTATGTTATACAAATCAGCCATTTTCATTAAGGATTTCTTTCGATGCAAAATACCACAAACATATAAAATGCTGTATTTTGTATCAGTATTGTCAGCAGCAATGGATAGCATTTAACTACATTTTTTGTATGATAATTTGTTGAAACATTTGTAAATAATTTCATTAACATATAAATAAGGAGATATGGTATGATTGCTAATCCGAGAACTATCCTTCAGAGTTCAAATAAGTGGATATAAGCAATTGTAGGTCACCGTATGGCTTTCAACAGCACAACACAGAAGGAAAAGTTCCAGTTGGCACTTGTACCCATTTTGCCAGTTTTTGGCAATAAAGTACCCTGTAGTGCATGTAATGATGAAATTAATTAACTGTCAAAGGTATGCATGTTGTGACATATGAGAAAAACATATTTAAATCTGTTCAGTGTGAAAATCATCGTTATTTAAGATTTTTTTCAAATGAATTTTATTTTGCCACTGTATTCGTGGTGTTGTTTTTGTTTTTCAGTTTCAAGTTTTTATCAGTCGGAATTGAAAATAACGGATTTTTTATGAAAGGTGAACGGAGTTGAAAAAGAGTAATGTGTTGTATTAAAACAACGTGTCAAATTATTAAAGAATTTACTCTTAAGAAACCAACAAAAAAAACCCCAAAAAATTCCGCAAGATCCTCGCATATTATTTTTTATTTTTTAGCCTAGAAAAGCAATGTAGACTAAACAGCTAAAACTTATTCAAACAATACAAACAAAAATCTCAATCCGCTCTTTGTCATACGTCAGGTTTTTCAAGAAAATATCGTATTGCGTGTTGACATGAGGAACATGAAATAATTAACAGACAATTAATAGAATGACTGAAGCATTTCTTATTCTTATGTTGGGAATGGTCTTTGCGAACAAAGGACCAATTCGAAAAATATCAACGTACCGTCCTACCAAAAGTGTGGTCTAAATTTTCATAGTCTTGTTCCCAATAAGGAAACATTGACTTTATTCGGAAGATTAACTAAAGGTTTATCCTGTTTGTACATGCTGTACACATATTTAACCTTTGCATGTACTTAGAATAGCTTATGAGCGAATGGCAAGATATGCTAAGACACTGGACACTGGACACGATCATAAAAATATCGTTCATCAAGATAGGTATGGTTATAATCACTTCTATTGTGTCTACTATACATACTTAAGGTAACATATTTTTTTTAAACACATTATAATACTAGTACAGAAATTGTTAATTCCTTCTTATTTTTTTATTTATATCTTCTCAGAAAATTATTTCGGGGACACAGTCATGCATAAGATCAACCCCGACTTATGGTTGTGACTGTGTCAACTTTAGTTTTCTGCGTATTGTTTTTCGAGACTTGTTTGTCTATTGTTTGTCATTTTTAACATGGTATTGTCTGATTATCACCTTGGTCTGTTCTGGCTTTTTCTTGTTAGGGGACCCTCCTTTACAAAACGTATTAATAAACAAACAAGCAGAAGAAGAAACAAAATGACACATCACCGGGAAACAAATAAGATTATGATAACAAAATAGTCAAGCATGTTTTATTAGAAGGAAGAGAAAAATCATGACTATAACTGAAATTGCATTCAAATGAATAACTCAAAAGTTCGCGAGTCATAACTCGTGCTGACTCCATGTGATTAAGTTTGAGACATCGTTTGATTTTGGTGAAAGGTATAGGACTATAAAGAATCTCACTTCCAAGATCCCGAATCTGATTTTTTTACAATTACAATTGACTTCAAATTGTTTCTCATTTTGGAATCATACTGGAATAATACATTTGAATAATGCATTTCAGTTCTATACTTAAATGGTAACTGCCCGTTTGGTAACATGATTATACAAATCTAATTTACTTTTGCTTTGAAAAAGACACGGACAACAATATTTCGTTGATGGTGTCGTCGCTAGTATCAGTATTTGAACTTTCTGTGTTACATCTAGATGATTCATTTTCCAGTATATTTTAACTTTTAGTAGGTTGGTTCGTCAGATTACCTTGGTTTTCCTTACTTGATATTTTGTAATATCAAACAAACATAATTGTAAGTTTTCTGAAGAAAACTGATTTTTTAATAAATCCTGCAATTTCCTTCTTTCATGACTTTTATACATGTTTATATATATTTGCCATTTATATGTCTTATGCACTTAAGGAACGGTCATTTAACATGGGCGGGGGGGGGGGGGGGTTAGCATTTAGCACATATTTTTTGGCAAAAGCTTCCAAAACTAAAAAGTTTACCGTTTTCTTCTCCCTGATCAAAATATTCCTTCTTCAAAGCTGGGAATCAGAATATTAATAAAGAAAGTGCTCCGCAAAATTTTTTCACTGCGTTTATGTTTCAAAGGTCGATTTGTATACTCAAAGTTGTTTCCTGAGTTTATGTTTCAAAGCTTGCTTGTTAC